GTGAGGGGATCCGCAATCACATTCTGGGGAAGGTATTTTACCCCACTTATAAAGGGAATCCGCAACATCTTCCATAGCTAGAGCGTATCCTATTCAAAGTTGACCATGTTTTCCGGTTTAGATCGGTATCCGGTATCTGGCAATAGTTATTTTCGAACCAGGAGTATAGCTGCGCATCGGCTATTTCTCTCCATAACTGAAGCCACTGTTCTCGAGAATTGTAGTTACTGCTTTTTAGCTGTTCAGCTGTTCGCAAAGATGGATTTCTCGATTTCAGTCTTGTCACCTGTAAAGCAGGAAGTGTTTCATGAACAGGGAGCGTTGGGGTAGTTATTATTTTATCAAATTCTCCAAAAAGAGCCTCGTTTCTGCGTAGATTTGGAGGTAGAATGTTACTCAGAATTGGAAGTCAGTAACTAGGTGTGTATCTGATTGTCCCTGTAATCAGCCGCCTGGTGTTGTTCAGCTGTCTGTCTACGAGATTTGTGTGGTGACTGTTCAACCACATGGGTGCACAATACTCTGCCACACTGAATACCAGACCAAGGGCGGAGATCCGAAGTGTTGTTGCTTTTGCACCCCAAGAAGTACCACAAAGTTTTTGTACGTTGTTTCGTGTTTTGATTTTACCAGCCACATTTTCTAGGTGTTTTCGAAATGATAGTGTACGGTCTAGAGTAATCCCCAGATATTTTGGATATTTGTTGTTACGCAGAGTGGTGTTACCAAACTGGACGCTTATTTGAGCGTTCTCCAGCTTGTTATTAAGATGGAAGGTAGCCACTTTTGTTTTATTTGCACTGGGTTGAAGTCTCCATTTTATAAAATAGGCATTCAAGTCTGCGAGATCCTTTGTCAGTGTTTTTTGGGTTTGATATAGCGATTCATGTTCTGTTGTAATAGCTATATCGTCTGCGTAACAAAATTTTCTTGATTGCGTATCTGATAGGTCAGAGATGTATAAGTTGAATAAGAGAGGGGATTTTGAAGGTAACATAAATAAAACATATAAAACATATAATGACGGACCCCACAATGCTGGATTATTAGCACTTAACTAGCCCAAGTTATTATTCTTCCGTTAAATTTAATCTTCTTAGAAAAGGTAAATGTAAGAACTAACCACTTTAACAGAAATTATAAAAATCTTCAATTTCTCTAATCAAATTATCAAAGCCATTGCAAGAAGAATCCTGAGCCAAACACCAAGAAGAACTAACTAAGGTGGAGATACACGTGTAGTAATGGGCATTACGATTCTTTTTATATTACAATATTAAGTTACAAAGTTCCACCCCTGTAATCTACGAAAATATTAAAATATTTAATTATCTTCCACACCTAAATATATGGAGTCAGCAAAATTATTTAAGAGGTCCGTACGAAGTATATTGCTAAGTAGAACTTACTATAAAATAAATGAATTTTTTAATGACATCTGTGATACCTCACTAGTGTGTGATAGTGAATATATCGTATGAATGCTTTATTTGCCTGGATGGAAATTACAGTATCTTTTAATTATGTTTAATTTTTATATACTCACATGTCTTTTTTTAAGTTCACTAGATTTGTCAACAGAATACTTTATATTTTTTTGTGACAATGAAGCTTTTTTATATTTGTTATTACTCTGTTTCTGAAGCAAAATGCCTATATATTTGCCTGCTTCATCTACGTTACTGTAGATGGAGCTGAAGGCTTGGTAGGGTTTATATAAATAAACGGAATACAAGAAGCAGAAAATTAAGGCCCAAAAAACCCTACATATATGCTCATTCTCTGCATTAAGTTCATCAGACTGAATGGAACAGCCATTCGACGACCGGTTTCGGAGATTTATCTCCATCGTCAGGCCGACTTTGCTATAACCACCTGTAACCCTCAATCTAACAAACGAAAAGCAGAGAATAAGCATTTGAGTACAAAACGTACTACTATGGCAAGTGCTAGCCGCTCTCGTCATCTAGCGGCAGCTGTAACAATTACAGATCGTACCGCCAAAAATAGTACTTAATGCAGAGAATGAGCATATAGGTAGGGTTTTTTGGGAACTTATGTAGGGTTTTTTTATTTTTTGAGTTGTTTGGTTAGATGAAGCAAGCATGTTTGTCCAGTAGGCCGCTGGTTTTATTTTTGGCGGTACGATCTGTAATTGTTACAGCGGCTAGCACTCGCCATAGTAGTACGTTTTGTACTCAAATGCTTATTCTCTGCTTTTCGTTTGTCAGATTGAGGGTTACAGCAAAGTCGGCCTGACGATGGAGATAAATCTCCGAAACCGGTCGTTGACTGGCTGTTCCCTTCAGTCTGATGAACTTAATGAGTTCAACAGAGAATGAGCATATATGTAGGGTTTTTTGGGCCTTAATTTTCTGCCTCTTGTATTTTGTTTATACCTATATATTTGATCTTAATTAACCACATGCAATAAAAAGTACACAAATTTAAAAATTAAAAGCCAAATTATTTTTGGTATTTATTTGGGAAAATCCGCTTCCTCCCTTTTCGAAATTTTTTAATTTTCAATATTTGACCCACAGAGATAACAGAAAAAGCACTATAAAACTAGCGACACGGCCGCACAACGAGCGGCGCGCAGTTATATTTTGTCGCCTGTAATATCAGGTCATGTTTGAAACCGTTGTATTTAATTTCCCCGCTGAATTCGATAGCAGTTTTTACTGGAAACGCATACATAATTCAAAACGGCGCGAATATTTTTAACGGGCGGATACCAGTTTTTGTTTCGGTAATTAAAAGGCGTTAATCAGAAGAACAACTCGTGCGAGCAACGAGGTGAAAAAAAACACAAAAAATATTGTTTATTTTGTAGTACACAAATAAATCTTGGTTCTTGATAGAGTGAGTATTGTGGTTTGTATCAAAATAAAGGTGGGAATACTAGTTCCTCAATAGAAACTAGTTCCTTAGTTCTAGTTCCTCCGGAATAGTTCGCTGAACTATCTCTTTAGTTCACATTAGTCACCAACTACTAAGGCAGATTTACACTATCTAGTTGCTGGCGCCAGTCACACTGGTACGCTAGCACTGGCACGGTAGTGGCACTGTGTAAAAAACACTTTTTTGCGCCGAATAGTGAGCGCGTCTATTTTTTGTGCCAGTAACCTCCCCGCGCCTGCATTATGGTTACGTCTAAACACGTCGTGACAGTTGGTGGCAATTACTGGCGTATATTCGTATTCAGCACCAGCAGCTGGCGCACTTACAATTTGAATTGAATTGCATTGAATTTGTAGTAAAATGGTCAGAAAAATATCTGAGAATGACACTCTTAAGCTTATTCAGCTTTATAGAGAGCAAGAATGCTTGTGGGATAATTAAAGTTATAATTAATGGTAACTTTGCAACAGTTTTTAAAATTATTTTCTGGTTTTCGCTTTAGAAAAGCAACCAATTTCATATAATTACTCAAATCGACGATGCACAGTGTTTTGTCTAATGGACAAAAATAAAAAAAAAAATACGTATCAATGTTGATAATATTCTTATTTATTATCATAACTTATTGAGTCATCAGAAGGAAATGCAAACGTAAAACTTCAGCAACAGAATATTTTAGTTATAAGTAGGCTGGTAAAACAAGTGATATTCGGATCGGATTCTGATCGCCATATCAGCTGTCATTTCTATATTATGACGTTGTCTTGTGACAGGTAAATTTGTAAATATAATCGTATAAATAATGGATAATATTATCCAAGGTATGTACTTTATGGTTTTAATATTTTCATATGAAAAGTATGTTCTATACATATATATTTATGTATCTAGAATTTTGCTTGTTAAAATGCGAAAACAATATATATTTTTACATTTCATTACGGCTTTTCAAAAATACCCCCAAAAACCCCCTCAGGATTTTTGGCTGATAATAATCTTTAAACTATGTAGTTTTCGAAACCGCAATACAAATTTGCCCCAATTTGCCCCAAACCTTTTTTCTTATTTTTTTTAGGAAGGGAGATTCATGTAAAAAATCGGTCTTATTTGAGGAATGGTTTGTGTTGCCGAAAAATTCTGAAGCCTTTTAATACCCAATGGTTAAGACACGAATTTATACAAACTCATTCAGCAGATAAGTAAATATTTTTGTTTAAAAATGGCCGCAAAGTGGAAGGAAAGCAACTCGCTCGCGTTTTGTGGAAAATAATAAAACTTGGCTGAACACCAGGATAATGTTACCTAGCCGAAATGATATTAATATGTGATACCTAATCATTAATATTGATTATTGCGATTATTAATGATATTATTCATGTGATTGATACTGGTGAGGGAACAGATTTATCCCTGCCTCTTGATTTGTCTAATTTAGTGGAAAATGAATCAGAAAGTGAAGATTCCGATAATTGGTTATTTCTACATTTTTGTTATATTGATCTCTGTTATAAACCTATTCAGTGTTAAGTATACATAAATATAGATAGATATTAAGTCAATTTCAGTTCAGTAAAGAAAAAAGTAAGAAAACACTATTTATTAAACATTAATATAATCAATTAGCAGGAGCAGAATCCTTCGACTAATTTGTTATTTCTACATTTTTTATATTGATCTCTGTTATGAACCTATTTAGTGTTAAGTATAAATAGATGTAATATATTAAGTTGATTTCAGTTCAGTGAATAAAAAGTAAGAAACCACTATTTATAAAACATTAATACAATCAATTATGGCGCGGGCAGAATTCTTTTATTAATTCACTCATAGAAAACTTTATTAATTATGAGTTAAATTTTTGCTAATAATATTGTATTTTTTAAATATGAATTAAGTGTATAGATACCCTTGAATATGATTGACAAATATAGAGTAATAGTATTATTATACCGGCTGTATAGCAAAATAAATTATTTTTGTCCCCTAGTCCCTATATCATAAAACACTGTGCGATGTGTTTTATCTTCAGCGTACTTTTCAACATTGAGTATTCGGACCAGAGAGTGAACGACTTATATTTCTTATATTTTTATACATTATATTTTTTTGTACAGGTCTCTTTTTTCTCTGGCTTCTGCTGAATGATTGCTCCCTTGATTGGCAATACTCTGTAAGGGAGTTATTTCGTCTCTCCGTGATCTTCTCTATCGAAAGAAGTTTCAGTAATATAAGATTTTTGACTGTTTCCCTAGCCAATTGTGGAGTGCAAAGGCTGCACAAACGATTGCATCCACTGTGCTCAAATTAGTAGATATTGGCTTTTCAAAAATTCGGAATCTACTGACTAAGATCCCAAAAGCATTTTCGACTATACGTCTGGCACGTGACAGCCTGTAATTAAAAATCTTCTGTTCTGCACTAAGATTAACACCTGGATACGGTTTTATTAAATATTTTTTTAGCGGGAATGCCGCATCTCCAACCATGACTCCGTTTTCCGGCAAAAATCCATTTTCCAGGTATTGGTGAAGTGAACAGTTCTTGAAAACGCCGCCATCAGATGCACTACCACTCGCGCCCACATCGATATAGGTAAAACAGTAGTTGTGGTCAGCAACAGCTAAAAATACAATACTATACTTATTTTTTTTATAATTAAAAAATTGACTGCCACTTTTCCAGGGAGCTTTAATTTCCACATGTTTTCCGTCTATTGACCCATAACATAAGGGAAAATTCCATTTCGTTCTAAACCCATTTTCAATTATTATTTTCCATCCTTCTTTCGTTTCTGGAAACTAAAAAACAAATTTAATAATCATATTACTTTTATTTTATTAATACATTAATCATAAATTATATTTTTTTCAGGATAATATTATAGAAAGCACTTATGATGATAACGAATTGTCCGACAATCGGGAAAATCAACCACCCTCAGAAAATCAGTCTCAGGTTAATTCGGTACAAACACCATTAGCCACGATTCCGGAAACGAACACTTATTACACCGTCCTTAAGATCGAAGCGCAGCAAATTAACAGAAATGTCATCAATGATCAAAGATTTGAAAAATATACACGAAGGAAGTTTGCCGATTTTCGAGGAAACGATTATGATATCTTTGGAAAAAGCGTTTCATCACAGTTGAAAAAGTTATCAGAGGAACAGGCATTCATTGCTCAGGAAAAGACACAGAGCATATTAACTAAATGCAGACTTGGCCTATATACGAAGCAAACAGTCTGTACAATTAAGAAAGTCTCCTCAAATTCCCCAACTTTACCAATCGAAATTTTCAAACACGCAGGTCTCAACGAAAAATATTCAGTCAAGCTACCTGACGACTCCAACTTGCTCGTCGCCAGAGGTTAGTCCATTCGGCACTACAAATTCTTCCTTTGATAATAACAGTGATGTTGCACCATATAATAATCCCGACGAAAACACAGAAGCCATCATCACAATTGCTTTTAGCAATGCTTAATTTACGTTAGTTTCAATAAATACTTTACCTACCTTAATATATTGTTTTAATGCTGCATAAATTGCCCGACATACTTCTGGTATAAACAGCGAAATTGAGGGTTTAGAAACACGGTACAAGTGGCTAAGGCTTCGGTAAGACATTCCAGTGGCTAAATATGTTAATGTTACCACCAACTTTATTTTTCCCGGTAATGCCTCTCTCATTATTGTATCTTGACATTGAATAGAGCATTCTATCAGTTTAAGCAGTTTGTCAAAATTTTCTGTGTTAATTCGTAATGCCAACCTGTATTCGTGAGGATCTTCCAGTGTTAGCTGTTTTAAAAGCAAAGTAGAACCTCCCGATGTAACTCTATCACTTATCCATTTTCTTATCCAATCGTTTCATTCTTACTATGTTTTCCTCCAACATATTACCCAGCTCCTCAGTCAACATCTCCAATAATACCGTAGACGCATTTTTTATACGTTTAGTTTTTAGCAGCTGAACTTTTTTCGAATTCATTTTTTGAGAAATATCTGACAAGATCATAACTATACAAATAAAATTTCGTGTAAACAACATGAGCCAGTTACCCGAGCCAACAGCTCGCGTACCAGTGGAACTGGTGTCAGCTACTGGACTACGTGTAAATCTGCCTTGTGTTGACATCCATTGCTGGCTCTTGGGTTTCTTTACTAGTCAGAACTATACATAGTATGATCTGTATAATTTTTATAATGTATTGTAAGGATCACAATAGATGAAAAGGTAGAAAAGGTCGCAGTGGATCAGGTCTGCCGTAAATTTTGGCGAACTACTATGGCGAATTCTACTATGAAAATTTTTGCCTATCTCTGCCTTGGTGAATTTCTCCACCATTCTAGAGATTTGTGGGTCACCCTTCCTTTTGTGGCCATTTTGTGACCTTTTGTAGCCATTTCTGCCATTCCGTGTCACATGATCTCAAAAGACGGCTGCGAGACGGCTGTGACGCACGAGCTAGCGAAGAAGAGTGATAGCGGCAGTGTTGCCACAGCTACCCTATTTAGGGTAGATCTACTATTAAAATTTTGAGAACAAAAATAAAATGAAACTTTTGTTCTGAGAATTCGAATAATGAATTGAATAATGACAAGACAAGTGACATATGTCTAAATAAGAGAGCGATTTAGAGTGACAATTTGATTATGTAAAATTTAGAATGACAATTTTGATTATGCAAAATAAATATATATGCTATGAGTTTACTGGTTGCCTAACAATTAATGTTAATTTAAAAATAAATCAACAAACAAAAACAGACCACAGACCACACAAAACCAATTGTTGGTTAGTAGCAGTTAGTAGTAGTAACGAGATATGCCGGGTGCGTCTCAAAAGTGGCTCACCCCTATAAACTTTTTATTTCTTCAGATAAAAAAAACGAGATTTGGTTTGTTAGTATATGACATAAATTTGGATTGATTGAGGTATTCAATTGTTTTCGGTCACTTCCTGTTTCACCGGAAATGACTACAACTTTTAATTTTTAAATGGCACCATCGGTATTTTTTTACTTTATTCCACAGAAAATGACACTCTGAATCGAATGACATATCATATGTCAACTTTTGACATATTCGCTGAAAAACAAATTGTATTTTAAATTTCAATCTAGAGTGCCATGACATGTTGCCAAAACATTAATTTTTAATCAAGGAGCCTTGGAAAAATAGATTTGATCGTTCAATGTTTTAGTGTCTTGTCCTGGCCGGTTAAAAGATGCCCAAATCGTATTTTTAATCATATCTCAATTTTTTGAGATATTTAAAAATTTAAAATTTATTTTATATTCCATTTAAATGGAACGAGGGTGGCTTATTAGCATATTTGTAAAAAGCATTTTTTACGAATAATTTGATACCACACACGGTATTTCGAGTCAAATTGTCGTTATGAACCACAGGTTACAATTTCAAATAAACCATATGCGAAAATGTCAAAAGTTGACATATGATATGTCATTCTATTCAGAGTGTCATTTTCTATCGAATAAAGTAAAAAATACCGAGGGTACCATTTAAAAATCTAAAGTTGTAGTCTAACCATACCAAATCTGGTTGTTTTATCTGAAAAAATAAAAAGTTACAGGGGTGAGCCACTTTTGAGACGCACCCGGTATAGTTTTTCAATAAAGATTAAAAAACATTATAAAATTATACAGTTAGAATAGTATACGGTTTTATATTAACTCTGATTTTTTTGAAGTTTATAAAAAGCATTCATAAAAAAATATATATCCTTCAAATCCTTCAAGTTAAGAGCTGTTAGTAAGAAGTTTCACTTTTAATATGCGCACATAGTGCATATACAAGTTTTTTACATTTCATGTTTTTGATGGGATTTAATATTCAAATATGAAGGAATTTTGAACTTAGAAATATGAACAAGTTGAAATTCATTCTCGAAAAAGGGATCCTTATTTATAATCTTAATATTTCATCACAAATAAATAACTAAGATAATCAAGGTATTTTTTGACAATATTTCCTTAAAGTAGACTCTCCTCTTTTTAACACCTTAAAATTTTAATTATATTTACAGTTTTAATAATATTCAAGTTATTTCAAATTTTATTCCCAATCCTATATACTGAAAAGTCATAACATATTAATGTACTATAAAAAATATCTAATATTCATAGAAAATCGAAAAAAGAAAATTCGGCAATATTCTCGGAAAAGGTAAACACGAACACGGCGGTATTTCTTTGGAAATGCATCAACATTATAGAGATTCAATCCCTCGATGGATCTGTCAATATTAACGTCTTCTCATATCGGCGACTAAGCCGTTTGCGTCGCCAGAGAGATTCCAATCTTTTTTTGGATCGAAGAAAATCGCTACTTCCAGATAAGAAGGGTGTTGAGAATGTCTTCAAATTGCGCGATGATGACTTTGTAAGGTCTTTAGGATAGAATGGAAACGGTTGTTAGAGATGTATTTTTCCTAGTTTCCATATATTTTTATATATGGAAAAAAATAATATCAATATGTATCTAGGACAATGTTTAAACAGGGTCGCTAATATGTATGGGAATACGGCAGATTATTAGGTAAAATATACAAGGTACCAAAAAGTAAAATTGAAAAGTTATAGAGTTAAGTGTACAGTGTCGGTCATAAAGTTGTGGCACATCATTTTTTTTAAATGCAACCCCCAGTATACTATGGCATATTTCAATTATTCTTCCTTTAATTTCAAGCAATAATCTCTATTCAACCATTTCCGAATTATGAAGTTTTGATTTTGAAATGTTAAGCGAAAATTTTGTAATTTCCATACCTGATATAATCGCATTTTATACATCTATAAATGTTAACTTGAAAATTAATGTCAAATATTATTAAGTATCATAGTTTCCGCAGAATGGCATCGTTAAATGAAACCGAATACATTGAAATGAATTGAATCGAATTGTTTTAGTGATATTTTTAAAAGTCAATAAACTAGGAAACGGTTGGTTTGAGGTACATTGTGTGTATCTCGATTTTTGTTTAGAATCGAAGAAAAAATTGAAATATGCAATAATATACAGGGGTTCCATTCAAAAAAATGAAACTTTGATGTGCTACAACTTTATGACCGACCCTGCGTACATAAATTTATTACTCTCTAATAGATATTAAAAAAAAACTTTTATATTTAACTTTTTGCGGTACCTCGTATAATTTACCAAATAATCGACCGTTCCGATACATATGAGCGACCCTCTATATTTGTAAAATGCACGTGATACACTTGTATACTTTTATCTTCACGTGCAAGATCATAATAACCTAATTAATTTTTGTAAGCGCAGAAATGATTTACGATTTAATATTAATAGGACTATAAAATATATGTTTATCTACAAAATAAAATATAAAGGTTTGGATTTAGCTGACCCCGGTATTTTCCTAGCGATACTGAATTTTCTCCATCAGCATAGTTAGCGACATATCGCAAAACAGCATCTCAAAATATATAAGGGAAATTAAAACAACTTTCGTTGCACGTCATCAATAACACCATGCGTCGTCTTGGTGTTATTGATGACGTGCAACGTGTTATTGATGACGTGCTGGTGGTCGTATTATGATGTGCAATGAAAGTTATTTTAATTTCCCCATAATTTACCTTAGATATTAAAAAAATATAACGTATTTCAAAAACTTTACAATACTGTAACGTTTTTAAAAAATGGTATATGGTATATACTGGGTATATTCCTTGTATTATACCGGGTATTTACTATCCGGTATTTGGAGAATCCCCAAATTAACCAAATGTTAATATAGCGGGTGTTTGTCATCACTGTTCCTATCTAGTAGAATTAGAAATCAGTTCTGTCATATATTTTTTTTATAATGTTAGCTCCCCCCATTTACATACTTAACACACCATTTTATAATGATTTTATAAATCATATATAAACCGAAAGATTATATAATATAATTTAATAAATAAATAAATAATAAATAATAAATAAATTTTATTGCCATTAAAATACAATTTATGTACATTGGTTCGTCAGCTAGTTAAACATAGATTAGACATAAACAAAATCAAATAAACACATAAAAAATGTTACATTACAAAACATTACAAAATTTCAAAAACACGCCAAATCAGTATAGACATTTTTATATGTAACTAGCGAATGATTTAAACTGGTCAATAGAGTAAAACCCATTCCCCAGCAGGTATACCTTTACTGCGGCAGCAAATTTGTTGCCTCTCAATGAGCGCAACTTTAAAGGTAAGGAGTTGTAGGGGCTGACGCAGTTATAATAAGGTGAATATTCAAAATAAGTTGTCTTATGTTGTGGAACCATAAGCATTTCACTGTCCCGTGTATTGTGCAACCTTGCAGTACAGAGTTTTTTAAATATGGCTCTATAATTATTCACGTAAAGTAGACATTTTAAAATATAAATCGAGGGAAAGGTTAAAATTTTTCTGCTAACAAAGATATCCCTGCAGCTCTCACGAATACCAATATTAAAAATAAGTCTAATAATTCGCTTTTGTATAATAAAGACTCGATTAAATTTAAAAGCAGCTTTTCCCCAGCATAGGATATTACCCGCCATGTGACTATACGCAAGTGAATAATATACCGATATGAGACCATGTATGTCGAGCGTGTGTCTTAAGCTTAATATAGCAAAATATGCTGAATTTAATTTAGCGCATACATGGTCTATTTGCGCATTAAACGACATTCGCGGATCAATAAACAAACCCAGAAATTTTGTTTTGTTTGACAGTTCTATATCAAGTTCATTCTGGAATTGGTCCGGAATAATTTTCCTGTTAATAATTCCCATATAAACTGTTTTTTCTATATTTAATATAAGGTTATTATTTTTGCACCATAACGTCATTTTTTCACAAACATTTAATGTCGTTTGTGTATGTTCTTCTACAGTGTCAGCTGCTACAACAATAGATGTATCATCTGCTTACATTGTTAAATGACCAGATTGGATTTCATTGG